CATTGACTTTTTGACAACAACTGACTTACTTCACAAACTCTGATGATACTTTCAACCCTTTCTACCTCAATCTCTTGCTACCCTGTACCCCCGCACTATCCCCTGCCCCGCTGTTTTCTGTAACCTACTGATCATCCCTCCCCCCTTCTGCCGCCCAATATCCTCGCTTCCTTCCCTACCCTGCAGCACTGTACAGTATAGCCCTTGTGGCTCAGCACTTCTTTTTGATTATAATAATAATAGAAATTTGTGTGAGATTGGCAAAATTGCTAAATTCTGACCACTGTATTGGATAGTTGAAATTGGTAAATGAGTGGTTTCTTGTACTCATTCGATAGAAAAAATGCAGTTCTAGCGAAATAGTTATGATTTTTGTCGACTAGTACACTGGAATTGGCCGAAAATAGGGCTCAAAGTGGGCAAAATCACCGATGTGTAAACATCGTTGAGACCGCTAACTTTGCGAGAGCATAATTCCGTAAGTTTTTCATCAAATTTCATACTTTTGGTGTCGTTATGATCGGGAAAAGATTCTCTATCTTTTCATAAGAATTTTTTTTTTTTTTTTTTTTTTTAAATTTGGGGGACCCTGAGAACAAATCTTGGAGAGGGCCTGTGGACCCGGAAAGGGTTAATCCTGCCCCTCTCCCGAACTCCCTAGCATTTACTTTTTTACAACTCCACCCATAAATATATTAAACAACCATGGTGACATTATACATCCCTGTCTAAATCCATAAATGCAATGAAAACTTCCCTACCTTTATCTAAATACTGTTCACATATATGCTTCAATGTAAACACTTGACCTACACATCTACCCACTCTAAAGCCTCCTTGCTCATCTGCAATCCTACTCTCTTATTCTTATTATTATTATTATTATTACTATTACTATTTTTTTTTTTTTTTATCACACTGGCCGATTCCCACCAAGGCAGGGTGGCCCGAAAAAGAAAAACTTTCACCATCATTCACTCCATCACTGTCTTGCCAGAAGGGTGCTTTACACTACAGTTTTTAAACTGCAACATTAACACCATTTGCACTCCTTCAGAGTGCAGGCACTGTACTTCCCATCTCCAGGACTCAAGTCCGTCCTGCCGGTTTCCCTGAACCCCTTCATAAATGTTACTTTGCTCACACTCCAACAGCACGTCAAGTATTAAAAACCATTTGTCTCCATTCACTCCTATCAAACACGCTCACGTATGCCTGCTGGAAGTCCAAGCCCTTCACACACAAAACCTCCTTTACCCCCTCCCTCCAACCTTTCCTAGGCTGACCCCTACCCCGCCTTCCTTCCACTACAGACTGATACACTCTTGAAGTTATTCTGTTTCGCTCCATTCTCTCCACATGTCCGAACCACCTCAACAACCCTTCCTCAGCCCTCTGGACAACAGTTTTGGTAATCCCGCACCTCCTCCTAACTTCCAAACTTCGAATTCTCTGCATTATATTCACACCACACATTGCTCTCAGACATGACATCTCCACTGCCTCCAGCCTTCTCCCCTATCACCCATGCTTCACACCCATATAGGAGCGTTGGTAAAACTATACTCTCATACATTCCCCTCTTTGCCTCCAAGGACAAAGTTCTTTGTCTCCACAGACTCCTAAGTGCACCATTCACCCTTTTCCCCTCATCAATTCTATGATTCACCTCATCTTTCATAGACCCATCTGCTGACGCGTCCTCTCCCAAATATCTGAATACATTCACCTCCTCCATACTCTCTCCCTCTAATCTGATATCCAATCTTTCATCACCTAATCTTTTTGTTATCCTCATAACCTTACTCTTTCCTGTATTCACTTTCAATTTTCTTCTTTTGCACACCCTACCAAATTCATCCACCAATCTCTGCAACTTCTCTTCAGAATCTCCCAAGAGCACAGTGTCATCAGCAAAGAGCAACTGTGACAACTCCCACTTTATGTGTGATTCTTTATCTTTTAACTCCACGCCTCTTGCCAAGACCCTCGCATCTACTTCTCTTACAACCCCATCTATAAATATATTAAACAACCACGGTGACATCACACATCCTTGTCTAAGGCCTACTTTTACTGGGAAATAATTTCCCTCTTTCCTACATACTCTAACTTGAGCCTCACTATCCTCGTAAAAACTCTTCACTGCTTTCAGTAACCTACCTCCTACACCATACACCTGCAACATCTGCCACATTGCCCCCCTATCCACCCTGTCATACTATTATTAATATTATTATTATTATTATTATTTTATTTTTCCTCATGAGTACACGTTTTTAATAAGTTTTACTCTGGTTTGTCTGCTCAAAATATTATGCATAATTATCTCAAAATATTATGCATAATTATTTTTTCATATAGGGAAGAAACAAATTGCTAACCCATCCTTGTAATGCTTGTTATGTAACTTAGAAATAAAGTACCTGTATTTATTTTATGTATTTCTGGTACAGTGGACCCCCAGTTAATGTAATTAATCTGTTCCAGAGAGTGTGTCTTATACCGAATCTGTCTTAACCCTTTCAGGGTCCGTCCCGTAGATCTACGACTTTACGTTCAGGGTCCAAACCGCAGATCTACATCATGAGCTCAGCTCACTCTGATAAACTGTGAGTGGTACATTTGGGCCTAGATATGAGAGAATACATCTATGGGGTATGTGTGCACCACATAAAACAAATCCTGCAGCACACAGTGTATAATGAGAGGAAAAAAACTGAGATCATGATTTTCGATTAAAACAGCGACTTTGCAGTGTTTTTTCGTATGTTTTTTATAGTTGTATTTGCGATTTCTTGGTCTCATTTGATAGAATGGAAGACATATTACAGAAATAGAGATGATTTTGATTGGTTTTAGCACTGGAAATGACTTGAAACTGAGCTCAAACTAACGGAAATGTTAAATTTTTGCCGATATTCAAGAGTAAACAAACGACCTCACTCGTCTAATACACACCAGCTGGTGGGTCTAATATACATTCACAAATATGGTGATGATATTTATACAATTATTACAGTATTGCATAACAGTAAATCTTCTATTTTTTGGTGTGAATAAAAATTCATTATGTGAATAAATAATCAAAATAGAATTTATTTGTAAAGCCTCAAAACGTAACTAATGAATAGAGGAAATATTAGTTTAGTTCCAGGAATACCTACATTGTTTATTCTGGACCCTATTTTGAAATTGGAATATTTTGAACTTTGTGTTAAATTGGCCAAATTAACAATTTCCGATCACTTTATTTTGTAGTTGAAACAGTTGACTTGGCAATTTCTTGTACTCAATCAATAGAATAGAAGTAATACTAGTGAAATAGCTAAGAATTTGGTTAACTGGAATAATGTAATTGGCCTAAAATGGGAGTCAAAGTCGGCAAAATCGCAGATTCGTGAATATTGCTGACACATCAAAATTCACGAGAGCATAATTTTGTCAATTTTCCATCAAATTTCGTACTTTTTGTTTTATTACCTTCACAAAAAGATTCTCTACCATTTCATAAGAAAAAATAACAATTTTTTTTTTTTTAAATACTTGGACACTGGGGCACCACTTCAGATTTTGGCCTTGTACCCTGAAGGGGTTAATCCAAATTAATTTTTCCCATAAGAAATAATGAAGTCCAAATAATCCGTTCCATACACCCAAAAGTATTGAACAAAATTTTTTTACATGAAATATACATTTCCCTACACAGAAAACAATGAGACATCTAGAATAAATAAATAATAAAATGACACTTGCCTTTATTGAAGATTTATTGATGATTGATGAGACTGGAGGAGGGGAAAGGATGGAGGTGTATTATTGTTTGGAAGGGGAATCCCCTTCCATAAAGACTTCAGGTACCCAATCCTTTTCTGGGGTTACTTCCCTTCTTTGTTTTTTAATGCCACTAGGACCAGCTTGAGAGTCACTGGACCCCTGTTGCACCAAAAATCTGTCCAGAGAGCTCTGTTTCTGGCATCTCTTTAAGATTTCCCTATAATGGGACACATCATTGTCATTGTAGATATTGCCAGCACGGCCTGCAACAGCTGTGTCAGGGTGATGTTCATCCATAAATGTTTGCACTTCAGTCCACTTTGCACAAATGTCCTTAATCTTCGAAGAAGGCAACTTCCTCCATCTCTCTTCCTCCTCCTCTGAAGGAAATTTCTGAGCTATGGTCTGTTGGTGTTGCACCTCAACCTCTTGCAGCTCTGTCGTGGTTAGCTCTTCATCGTCGTCCTCCACCAACTCTTCCACATCCTCCAACCCCATGGAATTCCCCAATACCACAGTAGATTTGACAACTGGCATAGGCTCCTCAGGGTCAGCCTCAAACCCTTCAAAATCTCAATTCTGTACACATTGTGGCCACAATTTTCTCCAAGCAGAGTTCAAAGTCCTGAAGGTCACTCCCTCCCAAGCCTTACCTATAAGGTTTATGCAACTATAGCTTTCTTGATTGTCTTTTTCTTGGCCTAGCTGGTAGTATTGGTTGTATGGGGTTTGTTATACAACCTGTCTGGCTTGGAGACACGCACTCTACTTTCGTATTATGCGATGATCCCTTTCTTGAATTCTGTAGTGTTTTTCACCCTCTTTGCCAAAGGGCTGGCACTAGAAGCTTTGTTTGGGCCCAAGGTGGCTTATTTAGCAGTTACAAGCACTTAAAACAATGGAATAATACAAAATGTTTATCATGTACTCATGGAATCGTCCTCACTGGCTTATAAACAATGGCACACTGACTGTACATGGAGTGTCCAGGCCGCTCACGCCATGCGGACATGTTTGGGATTAATGACTTGAACCGAATTCACTGTCATTAACCGAGCCAATATTTTGATGCAAAAACGTTACTTAATCCAATGATGTCTTAATCCGGGGGTCCACTGTACTTATTTATCTATTTATTTAACACATGTGTAGGGCATACTAGAGGTGAGTGTCGAGGTGTCCTGGGTATCACAGCTACTAAAATAAAGTTTTCTTCCTCACAGTTGATCACTTGTCCAAGTACCTTGCAATGAGACTGACTCTTGCAAATCGCACTGGAGAGCTGGAGACAGAACTTCCGTCATCCCTCAACAACTTCTGTATATATATTGCACCAACACCGGATCAGTACATCATTGTGGTCGGCTCCCTCACCCTGGAACAAATTAACGAAAAATACTGGAGAGTAAACAAGCCCATGGAAATGTTTTATTCATGGAAGAAAAACTAAAGGTGAAAACAACTAGCAAATATGTATGCAAGAAACTTCCTACAGTGGCTGTTGGTTGACTGGCAGATATGTATGCAAGAAACTTCCTACAGTGGCTGTTGGTTGAGTGGCATGCAGATTAAGCATGCTTGCAATTCAACATTTAAATTGTAATATACACTGTGTCTATTGTTTCAGAAATTGCTGCTATTGGGTGTTGGCATCAAACTTAGGAATCTGAAAATTCTTCTTTATAAAGAATGTACATAGATTTTTGCCTTTTATTTTCAGAATACAACCTCTAGGTATGGCTTAGAAGTGTGATTGAGATTACAAGGTTTTGTGCAACATACACTGCTGGTTGTTACACTAATGGCTTCCTACAGTGAGAGGTTGTACACTCATCCCTATAAATATGTCATACACTAAATTTGCTCATTTAGACTAAACATCTCTTGTGAATAGTTTCATGTATGTATTCATTTTTTTTTCGGTGCCCATTTTGTTTTGGCTTAATGCACAACCCAGAAACTGAAGAGCAACCGCTGGATTTCCTTTGTACAAATCTCTTCTTTGTTGACTTTCTATGAATGTCAGTATTAATGAGGTTAGAGCAGTATTTAAGGAGAAACTGTATGGCCTTTAAAACAAAATGAGCTCAAATCTGAAGTCACATTTATACAGATGGCATTTGTGCTAATCATATATACTGGATTCATGGGAAACTTTGTTAACCCTTTCACTGTCGGTGACATATAGGTACAGCATGCAAGCCAGTGTTGGTGACGTATTAATACCTCAAAATTCTAGCGGCTTCAAATCTAGGAGGAGAAAGATGGTAGACCTACATGTGAGAGAATGGGTCTGCATGGTCAGTGTACGCAGTATAAAAAAATTCCTGCAGCACGTAGTGCATAATGAGAAAAAAAAACTCCAACCGTGGTTTTGGGTTAAAACTCCGACTTTGAGATGTATTTTTGTATGGTATTTATGGTTGTATTCTCATTTTCTTGGTCTCACTTGATAGAATGGAAGATATATTATGGAACTAGAGATAATTTTGATTGGTTTCACGATGAAAAGTAGCAGAAATGTTCGATTTTTGCTGATGTTCAAGAGTAAACAAATGATGTCACCGTCCATTATGTGTACAACTGGCCAGTCTAATATGCAGTCACAAATGGGTTGACATGATTTACACAATTATTACAGTAATGCAGTATCTGCATAACAGTAAGTCTTCTATTTTTTGCGTGAATAAAAATTCAAAATGGAAAGCAAGAGTAATATAAGAGGGGCCTGGAGATGTGACTGATGAACAGAGAAAATGTTATTTTAGTGCCAGGGATGTCTGCATTGTTTCTTCTGGACCCTATTTTGAAATTGTCATCTTTTGAAATTTGTGTGAGTTTGGCCAAATTGCCAATTTCTGACCTCTTTATTGGGTAGTTGAAATCAGTAAATGGGCAATTTCTTTTACTCAATCGATAGAACAAATGGAGTTCTAGAGAAATAGCTATGAGTTTAGTCGACTGGAACAATGGAATTGGCTGAAAATAGGGCTCAATGGGCTCAATCGCTGATGCGTACATATATTGCAGAGACTGCTGACTTCACAAGAGCATAAATCTGTAAGTTTTCCATCAAAATTCATACTTTTTATGTCATTACCATTGAGAAAAGATTATCATTTCATAAGAAAGAAATAATTTTTTTTTTTTAATTCTTCGACACTGAGAGCAAGTTTGTAAGCAGCAGGGGTCTCGACGGTGCAAGGGTTAATATAATTCCATGAAGCTTGAAAGCAATCTGTATACTGTATAAACACAAATTAGTCTATCAGCATATTATGATAGTTTTTTCAAAGACAATTTTGCTTATTGCACTTACGTCTATTCATACCTGAAAATCTGGATGGTATATATAACAGCTTTTTTTTTTTTTTTTTTTTAGGGGGGAAGATGGGGGAGGTGGACTTATTTAGCTGTGAAAGAACATGTGTCATTGGAGATAACTCTGTGACCACTTCAGCAATTTTGATCTTACATTCAAGCTTCAGTTTTGTTTGACTTAAAAAAAAATTATTGGCCAGGCTAAGTAAGTTAAGCTGTTGCAACTTGACTCTCTCCTCCCTGACTTGCATCTCTTAGATAACAAACTAATTTGCTCCTTGACCATTTTGCTGAATGAATCAGAAGTTAAAAGTGTTGACACTACAGCATACAAAGTATATTTGATAATTTGTTGTCTTGTCACAAAAGCTGTTATTGGGCCCTTTTCTAACTATTTTTTATTATTAACATGGCCATTTCCCACCAAGGCAGGGTGGCCTGAAAAAGAAAAACTTTCATCATCATTCACTCCATCACTGTTTTGCCAGAGGCATGCCTACACTACAGTTATAAAACTGCAGCATTAACACCCCTCCTTCAGAGTGCCAACACTGTACTTCCCATCTCCAGGAATCAAGCCCAGCCTGCCAGTTTCCCTAAATTCCTTCATAAATGTTACCTTGCTTACACTCCAACAGCACATCAAGTCAGGTCCTAAAAACCATTTGTCTCCATTTGCTCCTGTCTAACTCGCTCATGCACGCTTTCTGTAAGTCTAAGCCCCTCGCACACAAAACCTCCAACCTTTCCTAAGCCGACCCCTACCCCACCTTCCCTCCACTACAGATCTGTATACTCTCAAAGTCATTCTATTTTGTTTCAACCTCTCTGCATGTCCAGACCATCTCAATAACCCCTACTCAGTCCTCTGGATAATTGTTTTGATAATCCCACATCTCCTAATCTCCAAACTATGGATTCTCTGCATTATATTCACACCACACATTGCCCTCAGACATGACATCTCCACTGCCTCCAGCCTTCTCCTTGTTGCAACATTCATAACCCATGCCTCACACCCATATAAGAGTGTTGGCATAACTATACTCTCATACATTCCCCCCTTTGCTTTCATGGATAAAGTTCTTTGTCACCACAAACTCCTCAGTCCACCACTCACCTTTTTACCCTCGTCAATTCTATGATTCACCTCATCCTTCATAGACTCATCTGCTGACATGTCCACTCCCAAATATCTGAACACATTCACTTCCTCCATGCTCATCACCTTACTCTTTCCTATATTCACTTTTAACTTTCTTCTTTTACATACCCTACCAAATTCATCAAACCAACCTCTGCAGCTTCTCTTCAGAATCTCCCAAAAGCACAGTGTCATCAGCAAAGAGCAACTGTGACAACTACTTTGTGTTACTCTTTTTTTTTTTTTTTTTTTTTTTTTTTTTTTTTTTTTTTTTTTTTTTTTTTTTTTTTATATATACCCCACACCTCTTGCCAACATCTGAGCATTCACTTCTCTTACTACTCCATCTATAAATATTTAATATTCTGCTTTAAATGTAACATAGGTAAATGGCTGCCATTTTCCACTGAATTGTTGATTATTATTTTTTGAGTAAGTATTATATTGATAATTATTGTTCTCCCCCTCAGTATCCATTAGGAATGAAGTCTATGAGTCAGGGATGCTAAATTTCAATGGGAAATAGAAGATGCATTCCAAACCACTATTGTATACCTTTGTCATCTAACACAATATTTACCATACAGAAACTGTGATTCTGGAGCCCAGCTCAATGCCGGCACCTTAACAGCATACACAAGTCACAGATTCAAGAGCCAAGCTCACAGCTTTATCCTTGATGTCATCAAGGGTCTATCAATCCAATGTAGAATTATCCTCCTCTAACTTGGATTGAACCTGAATGCCTCCTTTTTTTAAGTGCTGTATGACCCCTATGGGTTTAGTGCCTTCCCCCTGATTACAATAAATACATAAACACCATAATAGTGTGCTAAAGTTGCAGATCCAAGAGCTGAACTAGCAGATGACACCATGGCATATGTGAGTCAAATTCACGAGTCCTTCAGTAGATAACAAGCAGTTGAACATAAAATATTTGATTTGACAGATTAATAAATGGGAAATGCATGGATACTGATGGGGTAAAGTATTGTTTCCGTTATTATGTTTATGATGTCAGTTCAATCAATTTTGGCTTATGTTTTTCATTTACCATTAACTACTGGTATTCTTTCTTTCAACATATCAGCCGTATCTCACCGAGGCAGGGTGGCCCAAAAGGAAAAGTGAAAGTTTCTCCTTTTAAATTTAGTAATATATATAGGAGAAGGGGTTACTAGCCCCTTGTTCCTGGCATTTTAGTCGCCTTGTACGACACGCATGGCTTACAGAGGAAGAATTCTGTTCCTCTTCCCCATGGAGATAAGAGGGAATAAACAAGAACTAGAAAGAAAATAGAAGAAACCCAGAGGGGTATGTATATATATGCTTGTACATGTATGTGTAGTGTGACCTAAGTGTAAATAGAAGTAGCAAGACATACCTGTAATCTTGCATGTTTATGAGACAGAAAAAAGGACACCAGCAATCCTACCATCATGTAAAACAATCACAGGCTTTCGTTTTACACTCACTTGACAGAACGGTAGCACCTCCCTGGGCGGTTGCTGTCTACCAACCTACTACCTAGGAACTATTGGTATATTTCATTTTAATTTATGCAAAGAATTAATGACTGTGAAGGTTAATTTGTTATATTTTCAATATGTCAGATACTGTACAGTAACATATTTGAAATATTTTCTGTAAAGATGTTAAATTATTTTTCTCCACTGTAAAGTACAACTGTATTTCTTAGTGAAGAAATTCCACATAATAATATAGATTTTGTTCTCACATTAACGATGAGTAATGATACCTCTCTGGACAAGCAAAGCTGAGTATGTACTGAAGTTGTACAAAGTTATACAAAAAGGCAATAAAGTGGCAAGCATGAACACCATAAAAGAGGTGATTATTCTCTTGGTGGTATAGTTCTTTGGGTGTCTTCTAACTCAGTGGTAGAGCTTTTATTATTTTTTAACACAGCTGTCTCCCAGAAGAAATAAAAAGTAGAGCTTTTATTTCACAGCCAAAAGGATGCCAGGTTAGAATCTGGGCTAGGCGAGACATATGGGCAAGTGCCCTACACCTGCTGCTCCTGTTCATGTAGCAGTATACAAATATCTAGGAGATAATCAACTGTTTTGGGCCACATCTTAGGGTAGATGGCTTAAGAGAACCAACAAGAATTGGCCACCTTGCTATGCTTCTTGGGTTATCTTGGGGTATTAATCCTGCTAGACAACACAATCCCCCACTCGTCAAACACCTGAACCTACTCACTGTACAAAA